TCTATCTATCTATCTATTCACCTCTCTTTCTGTCTGCCTGCCCAATATTTATTTAATATACGGTCTCTCTCCCGCCTGGGATCCAAGTCAGGTGACACGGATCTGCATTGGCTGCACCTGCTGCACTGCGCAATGGCAGTCCAGCAACACAAAGTGAGTGTTCACTCTGAAAGGTGCGCCTGTGGGCTCTCAGAGGAGCCGGGCTTCCATCGCTCTGCTCCGGAGGGGCTTAATGGTGAGGAATTCCAGAGCCAAAGCTACACATTTAACCTTCCTTTCCCCTTGTGTTTCCACAGGTGCCGCTCCCAGCACGTTGACCCCTGGCATCCCAACGTCTTTCCTTCTCTGGGGGTTCCTTCTCTTCTCTGGCACCCTCCGCTCCATGGGCACCCTCTGACGCCTCCCACAAAAGGGCTGGATGGAAAGGCAGAACTTCCCAGATTTTGGTCTAGAGATGAAAATTGCATGTTTTGCCTTTGGCTGCCACATCTATATCTGTATCAATAAAAATGTAATGTTTGTTTTTGGGATTAACATAACTCAAAAACTACTGGATCAATTGACACCAAATTTGGACACAAGACACCTATCATGCCGACAAGTGACCATCACTCATAAACACACTGAAAAACACATAATAATAGTAATAATAATAATAATCATCATCATCATCATCATCTTTATTTGTACCCTGCCCCATCTCCCCGATGGGGACTCGGAGCAGCTTACATGGGGCCAAGCCCGAACAACAATTACAATAAAGAACGACCGAACGCAAACCGAAAATGCAAACAATAAACAATAAACAACATCATAATTACAAAGAACATATGAATATACAACAATATCAAATTACAATAAACACAAACACAGTGACAATGGGCGGGCCACATGGAATGGTTAAAAGAAGAACTAATTAAAACTAGTTAAAAAGCTCGGTGAGATAAAAGAGAAACAGATTGTTTGTGGAGGAGGGCTCATTATGGTGGGAGTTGTGGAAACAAGCTTTCCCACAAGGGGGAATATATACTCCAGTGATAGAACATTGCACATGAGGGATAATGTGGGATTGAGTACCTATTCACCAAAGGCGCAATGGAAGAGCCAGGTTTTGAGGTTCTTTTAAAAAGTGTCTAGGGTAGGGGCTTTCCTAATTTCTCCAGGTAGTGAGTTCCAGTCGGGGAGCCACCGAGGAAAAAGCTCTCTCCCTTGTGCTTACAAGGCAAGCTTGTGAGACTGGCAGGGGTGAAAGAAGGGCCTCCCAAGAAGATTGGAGAGCCCGAGATGGTTCATGGAAGGAGATACGGTCACGAAGGTAGGTGGGTCCCAAACCGTTTAGGGCTTTGTAGGTGATAACCTGCACCTTGAATTGGGACCGGAAGATAAACGGCAGCCAATAGAGCTCCTTAAACAGGGGGGTTGACCGCTCCCTGTTAGTCGCCCCAGTTATTAATCTGGTTGCTGAACGTTGGACAAGTTGTAGTTTCCGGGCTATCTTCAAGGGTAGCCCCAAATAGAGAGTATTACAGTAATCCAGTCTAGAGGTAACTAAGGCATGGACCACCATGGTCAAGTCAGACTTCATGAGGTATGGTCGCAGCTGGCGCACAAGTTTTAATTGCGTGAAGGCCCTCCCGGCCACTGCTGACACCTGCGCATCAAGCATCAGCGCTGAATCCAGGAGGACTCTCAAACTGCACACCTGTGATTTCAGGGGGAGTGCAGCACAGGCTGCCACCCAATACCCCAGTCAGACGGGCTACTGACCTGGAGGACCTCTGTCTTGTCAGGATTGATCCTTAGCTTGTTCATCTTCATCCAGATCATCACAGTGGCCAGGCACTGGAGTTGGGGCTTCCTTGGAATCTGGTGGAAATGAGTAGTGGAGTTGGGTGTCATCTGCATAGAGATGGCACCGTACTCCAAAACTCTGGATGACCTCTCCCAGCGGTTTCATGTAGATGTTAAAAAGCATGGGGGACAGAATGGAACCTTGTGGGACCCCACAGGTCAAAGGCCAGGGGTCTGAGCAGGTGTCACCCAGCTTCACCATCTGGGAATGACCTTCCAGGAAGGACCGGAGCCACGACAGAGCCATGCCCTTGAGACCCATCCCAGCGAGTCTCCCCAGCAGGATACCATGGTCGATGGTATCGAAAGCCGCTGAGATGTCCAAGAGAACCAGCAGGGTCACACTCCCCTGTCCAGTTCCCTGTGGAGGTCAACCACAAAGGCAACCAAAGCCGTTGCGGTACTGTGCCCAGGCCTAAAGCCACACTGTGAGCGATCAAAAAAACACAAAAAAGCAAAAAAGATGCTACAGCGCATGTGCAAAAATGACTCCCCTAGCAAACAAAACATACAAAAGTTTATCCACACTCTCTGTCAGGGATGCTTTGAATGCCATTTCCTTGCTTCTTGGCAGAATGGGGTTGGACTGGATGGCCCAGGAGGTCTCTTCCAACTCTTTGATTCTATTATTCTAAGTCCATGATGGTGGATGTACGAATGGAGGGAATGTGTTGTCTACTATATGTGCTGCTATTTTTGTATGTTGTGTGCTTTGTTTGTTAATATATATCACTGTTTTTCTTTTGTGTTTAAATAATAATAATAATAATAATAATAATAATAATAATAATAATAATATATATTTTTTAAAAGATACCAGGTCCCCAGAGTTTGCAAAAGGTGTGACGGTTTTCAGAGAAAAAGAATCACTGCTTCCAAGGAAGCCAATCTCTGGCCACTTCCCAGCCTATCAAAATGAGACAAAGAGCACAATGCTGTGCAAACACCTTGTCTTTGTTTAATGTCTTAGTCATGTTAGGGAAAGAAAGCTTTGTGTTGACTCTGATCTAGGAAAAAGAATTACAAATATCTGCCTGGGATGGAGCCGTTTTTGTTGCAAAATCCCATTCAGCACAACCAGGAACATGGGAGGAAACAAGCAAGTGTGGACAAACCTGGAGACGCTGCTTTTGCTGATGAGTCCACCCAGATGTGTCCCTTCTCCACATCATTTGAGGCCAGCTGTTTTGGGATGGAAAAGAGCCTGTCCTCAGGCTTCTTCTTTCTGTAGCAACCTCTTCTTTGGCCAGCGATGCACTCTTGAAACAAAACTGTTATTCTTGCTGTGTGCCAAGGGTTTAAGCGATACAGCTTAATGGTGTAACACTTCTCCACCAAAGTCAACATCGACACCGAAATACAACACCAACTGAGCTCTGCGAGTGCAGCATTTTTTCAAATGAAGCAGAGAGTGTTTGAGGACCAGGACATCCGTAGGGATACCAAGGGGCTTGTCTATAAAGCTATTCCCTTCCCAACCTTGCTATATGCCTTCGAGACGTGGACTGTCTACAGACATCACACGCAACTCCTGGAATGAGTCCATCAGCGCTGCCTCCGGAAAATCCTGCAAATCTCTTGGAAAGACAAGCGGACAAATGTCAGCATGCTGGAAGAAGCAAAGACCACCAGCATTGAAGCGATGGTCCTCCGCCATCAACTCCGCTGGACTGGCCACGTTGTCCAGATGCCCGACCACCGTCTCCCAAAGCAGTTGCTCTACTCCGAACTCAAGAATGGAAAACGGAATGTTGGTGGACAGGAAAAGAGATTTAAAGATGGGCTCAAAGCCAACCTTAAAAACTCTGGCATAGACACTGGGAAGCCCTGGCCCTTGAGCACTCCAGCTGGAGGTCAGCTATGACCAGGAGTGCTGCAGAATTTGATGAGGCACCTGAAGGGTGAAAGAGAGAAACATGCCAAGAGGAAGAAGGCGCGTCAAGCCAACCCCGACCCAGACCGCTTCCCACTTGGAAACCGATGCCCTCGCTGCGGGAGAAGATGCGGGTCAAGAATATGGCTCCACAGCCACCTACGAACCCATGCCCAGGACACTGAACTTGGAGGACCATCATCCTCAGACTACGAGGGATCGCCTAAGTAAGTAAGCAAGTAAGTGTCAAGGGTGTCCCCTACCTTATGGTAACCCCAAGAGGAACTTTTCATGGGGTCCCTGAGGATGAGAGTGTGTGACCTGCTTTCCATTTCCTCTCTGTCACCAGGCTGATTATACCTCTGATAAGGAACCCTACTTACTTAGGTGATCCCTCATTGTCCACTTATGATGGCCTTCCAAGTGTAGGGTCTTGGTGGTGGATAAGGAACCAGGAGCCATTGTGAGTGGTCTGGAAACCAGAGTTCAGATCCCTGCTCAGCCATGGAATCCCACTGGTGGCCCTGGGCAAGTCACACTCTCTCAGCCTCAGAGGAAGGCCAAGGCTGTTTCAGTTTCATGTCCCAGCTGGACTATGACGGATCCAGATAATCAGTGTCTTCCAAGAACACCTGGAGTTGTGAGGTGATCACAAGTTCCAGGACTTTCCCATAAAGGAGAGATTGGAAACTGGCTGAAAGCTGTTCAATTGAGTAGGGCTCAGTGATGGGCTTTTTCGACAGTCTATAGAATCATAGAATCAAAGAGTTGGAAGAGACCTCATGGGCCATCCAGTCCAACCCCATTCTGCCAAGAAGCAGGAATATTGCATTCAAATCACCCCTGACAGATGGCCATGCAGCCTCTGCTTAAAAGCTTCCAAAGAAGGAGCCTCCACCACACTCCGGGGCAGAGAGTTCCACTGCTGAATGGCTCTCACAGTCAGGAAGTTCTTCCTAATGTTCAGATGGAATCTCCTCTCTTGTAGTTTGAAGCCATTGTTTCGTCCTAGTCTCCAGGGAAGCAGAAACAAGCTTGCTCCCTCCTCCCTGTGGCTTCCTCTCACATATTTATACACGGCTATCATATCTCCTCTCAGCCTTCTCTTCTTCAGGCTAAACATGCCCAGCTCCTTAAGCCGCTCCTCATAGGGCTTGTTCTCCAGACCCTTGATCATTTTAGTCGCCCTCCTCTGGACACATTCCAGCTTGTCAATCTCTCTCTTGAATTGTGGTGCTCAGAATTGGACACAATATTCCAGGTGTGGTCTAACCAAAGCAGAATAGAGGGGTAGCATGACTTCCCGAGATCTAGACACTAGGCTCCTATTGATGCAGGCCAAAATCCCATTGGCTTTTTTTGCCGCCACATCACATTGTTGGCTCATGTTTAACTTGTTGTCCACGAGGACTCCAAGATCTTTTTCACACGTACTGCTCTCAAGCCAGGCATTGTCCCCCATTCTGTATCTTTGCATTTCGTTTTTCCTGCCAAGTGGAGTATCTTGCATT